CACCGGGACGTGGGCACGAGTTCGTCGCGAGAAAACTGGAGCAGAAGTGAGAAAGAAAGATGTATGTGTGTGTGTATGTGTGTATGTGTGTGTGTGTGAGTGTGGGTGTGTGTTGTGAAAGAGCGAGAATGCGAATGCCAGAGTAAGAAGCACTCTCAGCGATAAATTCAGAAAATGTGAAAATACTGCACAGTGTGAATGTCGGAGAAAGAGAAAAATAAAGAGAGAGGGCGAGAGAGAGAGAGAGAGAGAGAGAGAGAGAAAGAGAGAGAGAAAAAGAAAGAGTGCGAAAGAGCGATCCCATCGACCCCATCAATCTTTCTATAGGGTAGGGTTATCCGATCTTCGACGGCGCACTACGATCTCGCTAGCGCATTTCCGGGAGCGCAGGATGATCGCGTGTTACCGAATGTTGCGACACCGTGTATCGATCGTATCTTCGATACGTGGTGATCGACGCCCGCAATCCGGTAGCGTCCCGGTGAACATCGTGAGACGGCAGACGGAGAACACGCGGCAGTCCATCACAGAATGTCAGCTCGGCCTGGCTCCGAGCTGGCATTCCCGTTCGTCCCGGTGGACATCGCGATCTGTCCGCGGGGACGAACTCTGCTCCCCTGACTCCCCCCCCCCCCCCCCCCCCCACATTTTTTATGGAACCCCCATCCCTTGTGTCCCATTCGAGAATGACACACCACTACAACATTCGATAAACTCATCCCGATAAACTATAATAGTAAGTAGTTCGACTCTCTCTGTCTTCTTTTTAGAGATACATGTGTCATTATTATTATTGATTATTATTACGATTTAGAACCAATACCACTATTATTATTAATATTATTATTTGTATTATTGCTATCATCATCGTTAATAATAATTATTATTATTACTGTGAATCCCCCGATGGCCTCGTGTTACTATCAACCGCCCATTTATGGATCGTTCATGCTCGTTCACGAGCAAATCCAAGTTTCAGATTTTAATAATAATATAGAAGTGCAAAAGTATAGAATTTTATGGATCATAATTATGAGACTCTACTGAGTTTATACATAAACAGAGATATTTTTCAAGCGGAAATTTATACTGAAACGAAAATAGACTTCCGAGATCGATATTGTACACAATCATACATAATTCTCCTCCATAATTCGTAATATCTTAATATTATTAATACACTGTTAAATTCAAATCAAATTATTTAATTTAAATTATTTTTAATCATTTTTCTATAGATCGTCACTGCTCCTTCTCAATATGTCGTTTAATTTAAACAATGAACCTAAACAATTTCGAACTTGAGAAAATGTATATAATTTTATTCAAATTTGATTTATTATTCACTAAGTGCATATGTTAACATATTTACTTTGAAATTAATTAAGAAACTAATCAAGAAACTGATTTACATTTTAACACACATGAAAGTTAAAAATGTTATTTAACTAAAGAGATTGGATTACTGTTACTCTTTTGATATATATAACAGTATATCTCTACATAACAATATGACTTAGATATACTGATTTAAGTACACTGAAATATAACAGTATACCTAAACTTCTACAATTACTCATCTTTTCAAAGTTCTAGACTACAGTCATTATAAGTCGCTTCCGAATTACAGCGTAAAGTACAATTTCACTCGGCGAGCGTTACGATCGCACGAAGCAGTTGCAGGTATTTGCAAGATATGCAAATACCTACAACTATTCTAGAAAACAAATGATACATCTGTGAATGATAACATCTGTAGAAAGATGACAGAATGGAAGAGGAATGGATGCAAATGGCACATCACTGCGTAAATCGCTCGCTGATAAACCATGCGATTTGCAGAGGTCCGTGTGATAACATTAGATCGTGATAAGCAGCGATTTGTCAATCACATCGCGCTTCAGCATCGCAAAAACGACAAGGATCAACGCCGCGATTGTAATAAGTTAACGAGTGATTCACGAAGTAGCACTTAGCCGTTCTCGACAGCGTGCACAGAGTACGTACACAGTGTACATACATACGTGCCGTGTCAGATACGATAATCGAGGGCTTCCGCCAGCCGATAAACATCTTCGCACTTCTCTAACACGAAATAACAAGGCACAACGAGCGCGCACCGGCAGCGAATTGAGTAAATGATAATAACCCCTTAATTTACGACCCTTAACCCTTTACCGTGCCCATTTTACCCACAAATCGTTTACGTTACGCAATAAGATCAAATAAAACGTGTCTTTCATTGCATTTCATAAATGTTTCGTCGAAAATTTCATTAAGATAATAGGATTTTGCGTATTGAGTAACATACTCGATATCATTATTAAATACGTTTAAGAATAAAATTATTAATTATAGAAACTTATTAATCTTAGGTAAATTTTGATTGATAATATAAAAACTTTCTTTCAGATAAATAAAGAAATAATTATATATACACTGCAAATGAAAACGCAATTAAAAAGAAAAAAAAATATATATATATATATATTATATATACATAGTTTCAGAGATAAATTTATCATTCATCTTCAACAATTTAAGTATCTAACAATTTAAGTATCTAACTTCGAGTTCAAGAACTGTCCAGAGTCTTGTTTTCTAAATTACATTTACGCATAGAATTATTAATTACGGAAAGTTGATATCAATCTTTTTAGACAAATTTTGATCTATCCGTAAAAAACGGGCTTTCTTTCAAATAAAAAAAGAAATACGTAATTATATACATATCGCAAACAAAAATGTCTTTAGAAAGGAAGATACGTATGGTATTTTTTATAATATATTCAAAGACGGATTATATATAATTATCACTTATCCTAGACAATTTAAATGTCTGGCTTCGAGTTCAAGAATCGTCCAGAGTCTTATTATTATTATAACGGAAGACATATGTTGTATTTTATATCTTCAGAGATAGATTATAATTATCATTCATCAGACAACTTAAGTATCCGAGCTAAAAGATTGTCCAGAGTCTCATTATTGATTACATTTACGCACAGAATTATCAATTACGGAGAGCTTATTAATTTTTAAGGCAAATGTTTATCGATAGTATGGAACCGTCTAACCTTCTTTCAGATAAATAAATAAATAAAGATAATTATATGCACAATGTACACACAGCATAAATGAAAATGTCATTAGAAGGGAAGATATGTATGTAGTATGTACCGTATTTTATATTTTCATAGATAAGTTATAATTCATCACAAATAATTAAAGTATCTAGCACTTAGCAGAAGAATCATTCAGATTGTCATAATGTGTAGAAAACGCAATAAATCCCACTAATTGTAAGTATCATTCTACCAAGGGTGCAATAAACTGCTACTAAGAGAGGCGATCCATGGATTTACGGCGTCATAGCCGATACCTTTCTATTCTCGCAAATGCAATTCCATAACGAATTGACTACTCAAGGAGAATGCACTTGCATAAGAGTACCAGTCGCGGATAAGAGTAACTGCTCGCGAATGTCGCATCGCCGACATTTTCCCTTGGTGCATCGATTTATCAAAGGGCGAGCGAGCATCTCGATCGCACGGCGAGTGCACTGAGTAGGTAAGCATAAACAAGGTTGCAGTGCATAAGGTGAGTGCACCTAGCGAAATGTCAAGGCGTGAAAGAAAGAAAAAGAAAAACGAAAAGAATTTTGCAACTCGTCGCGCGGAGATTGTTCCATTATCATTGTTTTCTACATTTCATCATATCGTCCTGCATTCTCGCCGTTTAATACTAAATGCCCTCGAATTGAAGGGCTCCCTGAAAAAAACTGCAAACATCATTTTTATGATATTTTAATAGAAAAACGTTGTTTAATCGTGCAAATATGGACTACATATTTTTTATATTTCTTGAAAGATTTTAAAAAAATTGCAACATTTTATCAGGGAGCCGTTCAATTAATCTTTAACTGAACAGGAGCCCTACTATATAGCGCTGTTCTATTTTTCATATTATAATATATTGTATTTGTCCATTTTTATTTTTAATAATTTAGGAATTATCAGAGCAGTTGGAAAGTCATTATAGTAGCTTTGAAACAGTATTATGTTTTGAGATAAAGAATATAATTAAATATAATAAATCTTACCTAAAGAAAAACTATAAAATTTAAAAAACACCCGCATTCTAAAGGTTAAATTGAAATAAGCACACCTGATACTATTTAATGCTATCTTTGAAGCATTCGCCTTCTTTCCTTTGCTATTAAATCAGATGCAAAAATTTTCATTTTTCAATAATAGATTATTGCAGAGTAACAAATAATTGTTTCTTTTGTAAAAAAAATTTATTAAAGCGAAATGTCTATGTAAATGCAAAATTATCTTTTGCGATTTGTATTTCGCATTTTTTTTCTTAAGAGTTAAAATTTAATTCATTTAATTTTCTAATTAATGTTCGGAAAAATAATTTTGCGAGAAATAGATGATATGTGGTAAGTGCACTCTTAAGAAACATATAGTCAAATGCCTCCGTGGCGCAATCGGCTAGCGCGTTCGGCTGTTAACCGAAAGGTTGGTGGTTCGAGCCCACCCGGGGGCGATATTTTTTTTACAATTATTGTACGATTGTTTTTAATATCATATTAAATATCAGTTCGTCCTAACTGTAGATATACAAAAGCACAAGTTTTACGTTATAATATTACAATATACATTGAGGTAAAATGCATAGTCAACTATTTACAAAACGAATAATATAAAAAGATAATTAACGATAAATTAATTAATTTTTGTTATATTTCTTAATTCCGTTTAGCTAAAGAAAATAATGAAAAAACGAAAAAAAAAATTATCTTGACCCCGACGTGATTTGAACACGCAACCTTCTGATCTGGAGTCAGACGCGCTACCGTTGCGCCACGGAGTCTTGTGATGTTCCTTTCTTCTAATGCAATGATATGGAACGGTACACTTAAAATGATAGACTCGCAATATAACGTTGAGTGATAATTGTAGTAAAATATGTACTTAAAATCTATCACATACCTTATTTGTAAGTAAAACGCAGGCTAACACACCCAGAGACCACCAATCGACTTCCTGTCCATAATGTTCCTTCTTTAGGATTTCAGGCGCTGAAAAATCATGATGAAAAATTCGCTTAAGTATGACAATATAAAAGCGCATTTTATATTTTATATAAAAAAAAATTAAAATATAAAGAAAAAAAGAAAGAACACTTTTATTCCTTTACAATCAGCTATTACGCTTGCATTTTAAGGTCAATATTCCAAATTAATGTATAAAAATGTTTAACTCATTTTCTGGAAACTTTGTTTTCTGAGTCATGTCAATGTTGTAGCAAATAAACGATATAAGTGTATGTGTACGCTTTATAATTTTATATTATTATATAACATTTTCTTACCCATATACTGAGGTGTTCCGCAGAATGTGTTTGTTCGTTCTGTGCGATGCAACCATTTGGCCAGACCAAAATCGATAATCACAGCATGGCCATCTTCATCAAGTAGAATATTGGTTGTTTTCAGATCTCTATGTACTACACCAGCATTGTGTAGAAAATCTATATAACAAACGTTTTTGTATAAAGTAAATGATTTCAGATCCTGTATGTCACTGATAATTGAAATTATTCTTACTCTTGTACATACATTATTGATTGTTGAAATTATTCTTACCTATAGCTAAGGCAATTTCAGCTACATATATCCTAACTACTTTTTCAGGCAAACAGCCATACTCGTTGACTAGTGAAAATAATTCTCCTCCAGAAATATAATGCATCACTGCAATATTATTTACATCTGTCAGTTTATATAGAATCAAATTAAAATTTAAATATTGTAATAATAGAAACATACATATATACAATGTCTTCCTGCCTTGCCATCTGTGGACGGAATTCACTATGAAAGGATGATGCCCAACCATTCTCAGTATTGCTGCCTAAATATGAAACATAAAATCTGTTATATATTATATCTATATATTTATCAAAGCTGTATCATCTTAGATATGAACGTACCTCCTCCTTAGCTTGTCTGACACAATTTTCTGCCACAATCATGGCTTTACTAATCACCTTTAGTGCAAAGGCCTGACTAGTTTCTTGCTTTTTCACCTTATATACTTTGCCATAAGCACCCTTAGCTATTACATCTAAGAAGACATATCCTGTTTTCAGAGGTATCTCCTTGACTGGAAATTCTGGCAGAAACATTGACTGAGAACGTGAAATGGGCCATACTGTTTTGGAAGATCCATGAATATCTTGTGTAGTGCAATATCCTTTGGTCCAACTGAAGAGTGAACGAGTATAAATTTAGTTCTTGTAGTTATGATATTTAATATGTATAGAAATCTGTTACCAAAGACTAATTACAATGCTAACTCATGTTACCTTCTGTGAGAAGCACGGGACAATGATCTCCCTTCCTCGTTAGAAGCCTGCGCTGTTGCATTGTTGACACAGCTTCCACCAAGCAAATCACTAAGACTGTACTGTAAATCAATAACATTGCCTTTAATGCAAAATGCAAACATACAACAATATCAGGATATAAAAATTTTTTTAGCAAACTCAACTAACAATAACATTACATTAATATCACAATTTTTTAATGTAATTGTTATGTAAAACATATTATATTAATTTTGTTAAATGGAAAATTATTACTAATGTAATGTTATTGTTGATCAAACATCAAATGGGAGGACAAATTTCTTTATTATAGGTTAGGATCTGAGTTTAAACAATACTCACCTGACTATCATACCTCTGCTGATTATGAGAGTTCCTTTTGGCGTTGGAGTTGCCCATTCAAGTGACAGCTTGCTCCGATCGATCGTCGATCCTCTCAAACCGAACAATTATTCAAAAGCCGCGTTTTTCGATACGTCATTCTGCTGTCGAATTATCCTAAGTTAAAATACTAGTGGCGTGCCGCCAATTCGTTTGCACGTATTCATATCGTTGACTTATAAAGCATGCACGGCGCGGTACGACGCGTATAAATCGTGTTCTCACACGGCTTGATGACTGTAAATGAAATTATTAATTATTATGACAAATTGAGCGACGCTGTGCACAGAATTATTAAATCGGACACAGCAACGTAGCATGCGGTGCAAATTACGCTAGTAGCAACTAGTTAACAAATTACCCAGTGAATCGTTAAAGATGCAGAATTTTATTTACAACGAAAGATCGTGCGGCGAACATGCGCAGTACAAGTTCCTCCCAAAGTCGGCGAATCACGTGAAGGTAGAAACGCTTTCAAATTTAAACCTTACGCATATATAGAGACACTCGTAATGTCTTTAAGACATTCTATAAATAGCTATATTTCACAGCTAAATGAATGCAATTTGAATTTACGTGAATGTCAGAATTCAAATATATTTCTACGGACGAAGAAGTTGAATTAAACGTCGATGAATTTGAAACACAGAATCGTAAAAGCGCGAAAACACCGTCCGCGGACCTGCGCAATGAACGTTAATTATAGAATCCGAAATTGCAGAATAAAATTACAGAGCAGTAAAACAATTTGACTTATATTTAAATAGTAACATTTTTATATTGCACTGCAAGTTTATCTGTAAGCTTTTTTTATCTTAAAAATTTTTGTTAATATAATTCGTAACATTTCTTTAAAGAGGAAATTTAATTTAAATGTGTTTAAATTTTTTTACAATTGTACTAAATTTTTTTTTTAAGTTAATACAATTTAGTACATTTTTTAGTCCGATATATTCAGCTATAAAATTGTAGCAATATTTGATTAGATGCTTTCCATTTGATGATACAAATCGACAAGTGTCATTCTATCTTTGTTACTCTCTGAATATCAAGAAGGAAAGAACAACGCTAATGTCGATTCTCTTGTGTCATCAAATAAAAAACATCCATAGTCTCTCCTGTTAGTGTCCCTCTAATCAAAGATTCAGGTCACCTGAAGTAACGTAAATTGTAGCATTTTCCAATGCTGGCGATAATTTTAGAACACAGCCTCTATCAGATTTGGTAGAATGACTACTAAGGTGACAACAGTAGCCGCAGATGACAACGCCAGTATTGTCATCTTACGGAAAAGATTCAAACCCCTTAGTCGAGAGCGATTCTATCGGTAACAAGGTTACGTTGATATTACCGATCTCGTCGGTTATAGGAATTCTCGTTAAAAAAAAATTATCGACGCGTGACAAAGAAGAATTGTCATTCACATGGAGTATAGAGAATAGGAGGTCGAACTTACATGAACGAGGCCGTCAAAAAGCGTGAATCGTTCAGAGTGGTCATCTGAATTAGTTCGATCGAGATGTCGCTTTCGTTCCGCGATACCGTTTTCGCAATTTACATGGTAGGTCATACCAATTTTACATGAAGAATGCTCTATTCTTTATACAGTAATTTAATGACAATTTACTGTCTTCTTATTACTGTCAGAGCATGATGTCAAAGAATAATGTCTATTTTTAGGTTATGTGTGTTCGGTTGTGTGTGCGTAAGCGTATATGAGAGGAGTTTTGCGATTCGAACGCCGCCTATCGAGCACCACCAATACCAATTCAGAAACCTGATTTTGACCATACTTTCAAAGCCTAGTTCGGCCTCCTATTCTCTATATTCCATAGTCATCCATAACGCCGTGGTATCAGCGCGCCCATGACCGTCTGTTCACGTGACATTAGCCGCTGCGCCGCCTGTAGTGCGTGGTTGCGTGCGAGTGTAGTTGGGGACCAACCGTGCGATTGATCCTGTGGTGTCAAAAAAATCATCGGTTCTCTAGGGTTTGATTTTTGTATGCCGTCCGCGTGACCGCGGCCTGTGCCCGAGTCACTTGCATGTCAGCCCGCGTCGGCGTCGAGCGCGCGATCTAACTATGATCAAATTATTCTCGTTGAAACAAGCGAAAAAAGATGGCGAGTCACCCAAAGCTGGTACCCAGAAGAAGGCGTCCGCGGCACAGCTGAGGATTACGAAAGGTTCGAAGCAATGCCATTGAGCCACGTTGTACGCTTTCTGCACGTTCATTTTCTCTCTTACCTATAGTGCTTCTTTTTTTCTAGATATAAACGAACTGAATCTCCCGAAAACGTGCGGCACGGAATTCCCAGATCCCGACGATTTGCTGAGCTTTAAATTAATCATCTGTCCAGATGAAGTAAGTAAACGTTTATTCCAGAGCACCTTATAGTTCTTACAGTCAATCAGATCAATATCACTTTCGCCGTCTTGCCAGAAATCGAGATTATTTTTGGTGTTTAGTTTAGATGATTGACACAGTGACTCCTTTTAACATTAACATTATTTTCTTATATCTTAATAATCTGAAATTTTTTTTAATTGTTTCAGGGATTTTACAAAGGTGGTAGGTTCATATTTAGTTTCAAAGTCGGGCCCAATTATCCGCACGAGCCACCCAAGGTGAAGTGCGAGACTCAAGTTTATCATCCTAATATTGATTTAGATGGTAATGTGTGCCTCAATATTTTGCGAGAGGACTGGAAACCCGTACTCACAATCAATTCCATCGTTTATGGTCTCCAATATCTCTTTCTAGTATGTTTACTTGTTATCATTTCTGATATCATTTTCAGTTTGTGTTTAGCAAATAAAAACTGTATTATTATAATATATAGCTTAGACAAGAAATATTAGGCACCTTATTAACTATTATTTAAAGTTTAGCTCAAAAATGGATTTATAAAATTTGCTATGAATTATCCTTTGTTTTAAAAACCCTTTAAACTTATGTATGGTGCCAGTAACCAATAAGTAACAATGTAGATAAATTCCAGATGAAAAAAATGTATCTAATATTTTTTAACTGTATTATAATATTACGTCGCATGAAATTCTAATAACAGTATTTATAGTTAGTTCTTACATTTAAGACCAACTTAAATGCAGTCTTAAGATATCATTAACCAATTACAACATATTAATGTCTTAAGATATTAAGAGATGGTTGAGATAAGAACATGTTAAGATAAGAACGAGCTATGAATACCTGTACTTGTAAATATACACATCTACAGTGGCTGCCAAAAATTCTGACCAATAATAATTTTATTGTATTATATTACTCAGAAGTCTTTACAAATAAATATCTAGTACATAAATACCTAATATATTTTAGTATTTAAAATATTTAAAATATTGTACGCTTATAAATTGATTGATTATAACAAGAATTTTAATTGCTTGAACTAAAATTATAAAATTCACACAGAAATATTATTAGGCACCTGCTTTGACAAATAACCTTCTTTGCTTGTTTGTGTTCAGAAGAATTTTTATTTATAATATAAACTACAAACAGGACCCGAAAATTATTGTAAAGTTAATGTTAATTGGAAACTTAGCAGTTACTATATATATGTATATACAAAAACTTCTCTCAAAGAATCTGAGAAAATTCTTATTATTACCAACATTTAGTATATAGAATTCAATTTGTTTTTTATTTGAACTAAGAGGAATAAATGTTTTGGCAGGAACCAAATCCTGAAGATCCGTTAAATAAGGATGCAGCTGAAGTTCTACAAAACAACAGAAGGGCTTTCGAACAAAATGTAACGAAAGCGATGAGAGGTGGTTATGTAGGATCCTATTATTTTGATCGGTGTCTCAAGTGATACAGTGCCTCACCGTCAATACTGTACACGCTTCTCCAAGGACTCACTGTAGGTGAAGAGATCCTAAACTACGGAATTAATGTAGGACCGCATGGTGTCCTCATTATCACTTGCGTGATAACATTAACATATTTACTTTCTTTGTGTCTTGCCAGGCCTATATACATTTAATTGGAGACGTATTTTTTTCTTAGCATAAAAAACTCGGGCGATTTGAATGCATCGTTCATTGTTTTCGATGAATTACCAAGAATGTTTATTGGCCATGGCATTATTTTAGTGAATTTGAAGTGCAGTGTTGAGGGGCTCGTAGAATTATAGTTTGACATTTGGCAGAGAGATAATAGATGTTACGATGTGATTTAATTGTGTTCCATACATTTACGATTCTGGACCCGAAATTGGAAAATTTTTGGATCCTGAATTTTTAAACTTGTTTTGCGATTTTTATAGATACCTTAATTTATAAAATATTTATTTTCTAAGGGGCGCAACCCATTTTCATAATAATTCACCGTAGCATCTATCAAAATCTGCTTTTCATTTAAATATATGTACAAGTAACTTATGTATTTTGACTGAGAATGGAATATAAGGCTGTTACAAAACTGCAAATGTTTCGTTTAGATTTTCGCAAACAGCAAATTTTTACACCCGACAGAACAGCTCTCTTTCTGATATATGTAAAAATAACGATTCGATGTCTTCTTTTTTGTGAGAAAAGTTAAAATTTATTTTACACTAAGCGAAGAAATTGGTTTGCTTTATGTACAAGTACAAACCTTACAGCAGTCATTAATAATTACGAGATTACAATACAATCGTGAGATTTGTTATGCTACTAAAATTTAATTTATTATATACTTCACAATTACTAGAAATATTGGAAAGTATATTTTCAACGTCACGCTTGTACAGAGTCTATACAAAATAATTGAGCATATCTCAATGTAGTTTAGAAAAATTGATACATGCAAAAATCACAGAAATACTTATATAACGAAGTGTGTTAAAATGTGCCACCGATACTTTCTGCTATTTGCTCTTATATTGATATATAAATCGGAATATTTAGATAATACCATATATATCTCTTCAATCTGTAGGCATTTTGGAATTCATAATAGTAAATTTGTATAATCACTAGTGAAAATAGAAATGAAAAATAATGATAGTGTATCTATACAAGTGTGAAAAAAAATTTTTTGTCCTTTACATTTTAATTATACACGTTGAAATTATGTAATAAAATTTAATATTACTATTTTTCTGAATTCTGATCTTATTTAAAAAATAATCTACGATTGTGTGTGTGAATTCCAAACTACTATATGATTGCGTATATTTTGTTGTTTATTAAATATATTTAATTAGACAGATGTAAGAAAGAGTTAAATGCTAATCTATAAACATACTGTAAACTCCAGAAATAAAGGTCTTGGATAAATAAATAAATGACAGATACAATAGAGACTACATTTTCAGTTTAATAATGAAGTTTCTATAAACTTCATTCGTATATTAAAGCACCAGTTATAGTTATCTTACCTCTTATTAGTTTATACAATATCAAGACTTAA